TCGACGAGTCGGTCTGTTACTGCCGACTTCACCCACACGCGTCCCACCCGGCCCCCCTCGCGCCTCTCTTCCTGGTACCAGTCCCCCCCCCCGGTAGACCCCCTTCCCCCACAGGGTCCTGCTCCCTCAGGTGTGTCTCAGGTAGACCCACCCCCCTTGGATGAGTCAGTGGAGATCTCTTCTGACTCCTCTGACCCAGCTGAGGGGGGTGACACCGCCGCCGACGACACGGCGACCACTCGCCGCACTCCTCGCTTGGAGACCCCCCCGGGTTTCCCGCCTCGGCCGTCTTCGCCACCTCCGCGGCCTGCTGCTGTGGACTCTGGAGCTGAGGCTGCTGGAGCTGGGCCTGGGGGTGGTACGTCTGGGGGTGTCCGCTCTCCTCGTTTGGCTACCCCCCCCGGTTTCCCGCCTCTGCAGCCTTTCTGCAGTGGACACTGGAGCTGAGACTGAGGGTGCAGGGACTGAGGGTACTGAGCCTGAGGGTGCAGGGACTGAGGGTACTGAGCCTGCGGGTGCTGGGACTGAGAGTACTGATCCTGCGGGTGCTGGGACTGAGGGCACTGAGCCTGCGGGTGCTGGGACTGAGGGTACTGAGCCTGAGGGTACTGAGCCTGGGGGTACTGAGACTTTGGGTGCTGACTCTGGGGGTGCTGAGACTTCGGGTGCTGACTCTGGGGGTGCTGCGAGTCCTTCTGGAGGTCCTGGAGCTGGAGGTACTGGAGCTACTAGGCCTGGAGGTACTACTAGAGGTACTAGAGGTACTACTGGTGCTGGAGGTACTGGAGCTGCTGCTGGTGCTGGAGGTGCTGGAGCTGGAGGTACTAGAGGTGCTTCTGGTGCTAGAGGTGCTAGAGCTACCACTACTGGAGGTACTGGAGCTGGACAGCCACCGCAGCCTGCTCTACTTGAGACGCTCTCGCCGCAGGCGATTCGTGCATGGGTCGTTCGGCGAGGCAGTCCTGGTGGTGGAGGGTACGGTCCTGCTGGTGCTGGAGCTACTAGTCCAGGAGGTGCTGCTGGTGCTGGAGGTGCTGGAGGTACTACTGGAGGTACTAGAGGTGCTGCTGGTGCTGGAGGTACTGGAGCTGCTAGGCCTGGAGGTACTGCTGGAGGTACTAGAGGTGCTACTGGTGCTGGAGGTACTGGAGCTGCTGGGCCTGGAGGTGCTGGAGGTGCTGCTGGTGCTGGGGGTACTGGAGCTGCTGCTGGTGCTGGAGGTAATTGAGCTGCTAGTACTGGAGGTGCTGCCGGTGCTGGAGGTACTGGAGCTGGAAGTACTGGAGCTGCTGGTGCTGGAGGTACTACTGTTACTGGAGGTGCTGTGGGTGCTGGAGCTGCTGGCACTGGAGGTGCTGGTGCTACTGGTGCTGGAGCTGCGGGAGCTGCTGGCCCTGGAGGTGCTGGTGCTGCTGGTGCTGGAGGCGTTGGAGCTGGAGGCACTGGAGGTGCTGGAGGTACTACTGGTGCTCGAGGTGCTGGCGCTGTCGGAGCTGCTGGTGCTGGAGGTGCTGGTGCTACTGGTGCTGGAGGTGCTGCTGGGGGTACTGGAGGAGCTACTCGTGCTGGAGGTACGGGAGCTGCTGGTGCTCTTCGCCACCTTCTCAGTCTTCCGCCAGGTGCTACTGACTTCCCTGTGGCAGGTACTACTCCTCAGTTACTGTTTCCACCGGCGGACTAGTCACAGCCGCCGCTGCTACCGCACTCCCCACTGCTTGCTCATGCTCCTTACACTGCGGTGACACAGTCCCTGTCTGAGCGTCGAGAGCCTGAGACTCGTGCTTCCACCCCTGAGCGTCGAGAGCCTGAGTCTAGCTTTGACCTTGAGCCTGAGCCTAGAGCTGCTGTCCGTGCTCGTGTTCCTCGTGTTCGTCGTCCGCGTGCTCCGGCTGTCCCCGGCACTCACGATATGACACTCCGTCCTTCCTCTGTTCCACAGCGTGTTGTCCTACTGTTACCTCCTGCGTCCTCTCTTCCTGACGTTGCTGACCCTTCGTCTGACCTTGCTCGTGCGTCCAGTCCGACTGTTACTCGCTTCCTTGCTACGGTTGTGACAGACCCTACGTTCTCGTCTCCTGCTGCGTCTGCCTTAGTCGCTGAGCTCGTTGACTTTGCTGCTGTGTACCGCCTAGACTACCTTGCGAGTCTTGTCTCTGACCCTGTCCCTGCCTGTCCTCCGTCCGTCGGGGGTGAGACTGCCATTGGCTGTACTGCCCTTGGCTGTGACGTTCTTGAGGACAGACAGGAGGAGCTGGAGTGCCTTGCGGTCGCTTCACCCCATCACGCGACCATGCTGCTTGCCCCTGAGGGAGACCCGGATGCACTTGACATCCCCACCCCGCGCTCCTACAGGGAGGCGATTTCGGGTGAGTACTCCTCTCAGTGGCAGACAGCCATGGACGCAGAGATGGCTTCCTGGAAGTCCACAGGCACCTACGTCGACGAGGTTCCCCCACCTGGGGCGAACATCGTCAGTGGCATGTGGATTTTCAGGCTGAAGCGGCCGCCGGGTTCTCCGCCTGCCTTCAAGGCACGTTACGTTGCTCGAGGCCTCAGTCAGCGTGAGGGGGTCGACTTCTTTCAGACCTTCTCCCCCACCCCGAAGATGACCACTCTTCGGGTGTTGCTACACGTTGCAGGGCACGAGCGAGGCAGCGCGATCGTGCGGGGCAGGGCAGGAAAATACCGGCAGAGTAAAACTAGCGGTGGGCCCTAAAAAAAAACGGTCCTACGAGGGAACCTGCTCTGAAACCATGTTAAAAAGTAACTGCATTAATGAATGGATTAGGCAGCAAGGGTGATACAAATGTGGAACCCTAATGGGTTGTCCCCCCTACGGAGTACCCCAATATAGCATACAGTAAGATATAATGTTTGACACGGTGGCCGGTCGAAGGGAGGAGGAGTGAGGAGTGGCGCGCAGACTATCCTCGACGCAAGGAGTGCACGGCGAAGCAGGCGAATGAGGGAGTGATGCAAACACGCGCAGGAGACCTGAGACAAGACGCTGGCTAGACACGTTACGAAGGCGTGGGAGATACGGGTGACCAAGACGGTGGTGCCACGGAACTGTCGGGTCGGAGAGCGACCGACAGGAGCACGACGCAGCAACCTGACCAGGCGCAGCTACCTGACCAGACGTAGCTACCTGTAGAGACGCGGTGTGCACTGTGAAGAGGCCTGAGCGGGGCTCGTAGCAAAACGTGGCCAGAGTCGACCAAGTGGCACCGTCCACGCAGTTCGCAACACGCTCGTGCGGCGGAGACCAGGTGCTAACACCGAGGTTCTGAAGGGGTCCCACACCCACCAAGTTCTTGGAGACCAGTGAGGACACCAAAGGGGGCACCAAAGGGAGGGTAATAGAGCTGCGCCCACTGCTGGTCCTGGATTAGGATCAGCCAGGGCAAATGGAACCGGAGCAGGTAGCGGTGTGGCAGTCGTGTGGTCGGAAGAAACACTGAGACGCGCCAGAGTCCAGCGTGAAGGAGAGCGACGCGTCAGGCGTAGGTACACCTGGGCTAGTAACTACACAAGCACCTAGACTGGAACCACAATCACTTACACTAGCATCAGGCAAGGATCCTAGACAACGAACACGCGAGCAAACAGATCCAGCAGCACTATATTCAACATCAACATACATCGCATAATCAGATCGCAACATAGTTTGACACTACAGCACAACCCAGCCTAGCCTAAGAATATACCTTTACAAAATGTACAGGGATACTTTGACAGGATGCCCCAAATTGGCTCGCGTTTCCGCCTTCCAAGAAGAATCAAATCACGGTGCACTGCATTGCATCAGTGCGCACCAATGCGAACCGGAACACGTCGTAAGGACGCGGCAAAAGTTGGCAAGTTCGAGAATCGGGGGCTGAATATAATTTTGACACCGCAGTGCACTCATGCTGGTTTTGCTGAAACATAGCAGCTTCAACCTAGTAGAAATACTATATAGACTAGAGGGAGATTGGTTTTTACAAAATAACACCTTTGTAGCGTCCTGACATGTTGAGTGTAGACTCCTGTTATTCGGCCCCTCCCAATTGCCGGACTGCCAGCCAGCATTTGCGCCATGGCGTTCTTCCCCCTCCTTCCGAGGAGTGCGCGTGGTACAGTAACCACTGGATCGACCAAGCACACAAAACAGTTTGTGGTTCCGCGCGGCAACTTCTGTGCTCAGTCGCCGCGGCCAACCTCCGCCTTCCGCTCCCCGCTAGGAACAACACGAGCCTCTTCCGCCGCTCTGGGCATCCCCTCGCTACAAGCTCCCTCTTGGTGTGCTGCCCCGCCTCTAATAACTTGCGCGCTCAACTTATATCGGGCCTTGCTGCAAATTTGCCATGTAATTTTCATTGTGCGCTCTCAAAAGCAAAGCAGTTGCTCTCTGCATTTTCCCAGTGCTCCGTCCACATTAGGTGTCTTAGCGCCGTTCAGGTTCCTAGTATTTCTACAGCAGCCACAACTCGCCGCTGGCATGTGACAGCGTTTTCGCGGGAATGAGATAATTCTGTTGTGCTTTTGGGCCTTCAGCTTCTCGCCTGAACGCTACAGTAAGCCTGGAAGCCAATTCGTAATTAACGCTTACATATAGACCACTTCGAGGCGCTCGTATTTCTTCACCGCACAAAACGGTTCTTTTGTTTCACGAGTTCCCGTTTTCTATCTTCTCCTCGTTCCGCGGTTCCCTCCCTTCCCGATAATTGACCTTTTCCGTTTTCCGCGCCTATTTTATTTTACATAAAAAATACAAAAACACGTATTGTTTTGCCGTCCACGTCCGAGCGAGAACCTGGCAGAAAGCGGTGTCATGGCAGCAAATCTACCAACCTAGCACCGTGCTTTCCTCGTCGCAGTCGACAACCGTACCGCCGCTGGTCAAAGCGACCGCTTTTGACGTCTTCCCTCCTTTCCGTCCCTTCGTTTCAAACTTTTGTCTCCCGCCGTTCCGTACAGCAGCAAGGACGCAAGCGAGCGATCGACGGTCGAGAACCATCATGTTTTCGTCATCGCAATCGACGGCGGTGCAGCTGGTGGACAAGGCGACGAGCGACCTGCTGGCGAGCCCTGATTGGACGCTCAACATGCAGCTGTGCGACCTGCTCAACGCCAGCTCCGGGTGAGCAGCTTATATCAAAGACGTCTTTAATCCGTGCGTTCTTGAGAGTTCGTATTTGCTCAACGCCAACTCCGGGTGAGCAGCTTAAAGACGTCTTTAACCCGTGCGTTCATGAGAGCGCTCTGGGTCTGCGTATCCAGTATCGTATCTGCTGTCAAGAGTGGGTGTGTTGAAGGCTGAGTCCTCTCAAACATACTTGCTCCTTCTCTCTGTCATTTCGTCACCTGCGTGCGTGGCAGACAAGTGAAGGATGTGGTGAAGGCAGTGAGGAAGCGCATCGGCAGCAAGAACAGGAAGACGCAGCTCCTCGCGCTCACTGTACGTTCAGCGTTCCGGTGCCTGGCTCGTAAATTGTCAGCTGCTTTTGTTTTTCCGCTGCTCTCTCTCCTTTTCCATATGCCCACGCACACCCATGGGTGCGCCCCTGTTCTGTTCTCGTACCACAGCTGTTCCTGTCCCCTGAATCAGCTCCTCTAGGAATCTCCCCATGTGCCCCATATCCATCCCCGCATGTTCCCATCTGCGCCCCTGTGCACCTGTGTGCACCGCTGTGCACCCATGCATGGCGCCACCTCATCCGTCCCTCAGCTGTTGGAGACGCTGATAAAGAACTGCACGGCATATGTGCACCGCGTGCCCACTGCCCACACCCTCATATCCCTCGATGCCCCTGTGCGCCCCATGCCCGCCCGCATACCGCCACCCCATGGCCCTGCTTCCACCCTCGTAGCTCCTGGAAACGCTGATAAAGAACTGCACGGCGTATGTGCACCGCATAGTGGCGGAGAAAGACGTGCCGGCAGAGATGGCCAAGATCGCCCGCAAGAAGGTGCGTGCTGGGCTGCTTTGCTCTGCTCTGCTCTGCGCTGGCTGCATAGTTGCATGCATGGATGGGTCACGCGTTCTCATTTGAGAAACGGTAGTCTCGTCACTTCATTGTTTCCGTACGTTATCTGGGTGGGACACTGTTGCGTTTCCTCTCCTTCCCCCCCCCCCCCCCCCTCACAGTGCGACGAGGAAGTGCGAGTGCGCATCTTAGAGCTGCTGAACATGTGGCAGGAGGCGTTGGGAGGGGTTTCTGAGTATATACCCATTTCCACTTCCCCTCCCCCCCCCCACCCCCCCATCCCCCCCTTCCCCCCCCCCTCACAGTGCGACGAGGAGGTGCGAGTGCGCATCTTAGAGCTACTGGACGTGTGGCAGGAGGCGTTTGGAGGGGCAGGCGGACGACCGGTGCAGTTCTTTCTGGCGTATGACGAGCTCAAGGTGGGGGCGGGGGGGGGGGGGGGTGCAGGGGGGCAGGGGGCAGGGGGCAGGGGGGCAAGGGGCAGGGAGCAAGGGGGCAGGGGGGCAGGGGGGCAGGGGGCACGACATGTGTGCTGCATGTGGTATTTGTGATTAAGGCAGGCGGTGCAGTTCTTCCCTGGCATACGGCGAGCTCAAGATGGGGGCCGGGAGCAAAGTGCGTGTGTGTGTTGCATGTGGTGTTGGCAGTTGTGCCCCCAGGTGCTTGTTGCATGCTGTTGTTGTGTCGGCGAGGGCACGTGTGCGTTGAGGGTGGTCGTCCTTGTCATTCTCACCCCGTGCCACACACGCCCAGCTTATCTCGTCCCGCTCCCTCTCTTCCCATCCCACAACCACCCTCCGTTCGTGTCGTTCTGTGCAGAGCACGGTTTTGCTCCCCTCCACGAGACCCTAGCAGAGTGGTTGTCACTTTCACTTCAGCTCATGCCATGCCACACCCAACTTGTCAACTTCTGAGGCGCCTCAAAACTATTCAGTTCAGCTCATGCCACACCCAACCTGTCAACTTCCTCTTCCCCCTCACCCCATCACCCCACCACCACCGGTCACCCCCTGCTCGCAGCGCATGGGCATGCCCTTCCCCCCCCGCGACCCCAACCGAGTGGTACCGGTCTTCACGCCCCCAACTCCTCAACTTCCTCTTTCCCGTCTCCCCACCCCCCCACCACCTCCCTCCCTTCCATGCATGCAGCGCATGGGCATGCCCTTCCCTCCTCGTGACCCCAACCGAGTGGTACCGGTCTTCACCCCGCCCCAGACGCAACCCACAGCCGCGCCCTTCAGCCACGCCCCTCCCCAGATGTACCCTCCCCAGTCGTACCCTCCCCATCCGTACACGTCCCGGGGCTATGATGGGCGGCCTGTGGTGATGGGGTACCCTGCGGGGAGTGGGGGCAGGGGGCGCGGGGAGGGGGGAGGAGGAGATCCCTCCGCATGTGCTGCAGGCAACGACTGCCACCGCAATGACGTGAGTGCTGGCAGGGGAGTGATGGGTTGGGAAGTGCTGGGGTGGGTGGGGAGTGCTGGGCTGGGGAGTGGAGTGGTGGGCTGGGAGTGCTGGTTGCTTGCCTGGCTGAGTTCTTCACTCCACATTTCACCCTTTTCTCACTTCATCCAAAACTCCTGTTTGCGGTAGCATGCTCTAATCTTGCATTTTTTTGTCGATTCGAAGCTGTGCCTTGGCTTGGCAAACCGTCCATGTTTTACAGGAGGGTAAACTGTTGAGTGCATGAACCCCAGCCCAGCACTCCCCACCCAGACCAGCATCCGAGAGACCAGCACTCCCCGTACCCACCCACACCTCCCTCTCCCCCCCCCCCCCCCCCCCCCCCCCTCCCCCCTCCCCACCCCACCCGACCCTCCTGGCCCTTCTTCCAACCTTCTTCTCCCCCTTCGTTCCCCTTTCCTTCCCCTTTCCCCTTATTGCCACGCTGACATGCTGAACACGTTTACAAATAATCCCACCCCATTCCCACTCCCCTTCCCCTCATCCGCCACAGGGCTACTGGTGACTGCTAGGGAAATTGCTGTTTTCTGTGTGGAATCACCAACCCCCCCTCTCTATGCGTTTTTGCTTTTCTCCGCATGGACACTCGCCTCGCCCCGTGTGTGTGATGTGTCTCCCACCCACAGGGCGGCAGCCCTAGGGAATGCGCGCAGCACAGTGGAGTGGACCTGCTGGGGGAGATGCTGACGTGACGTGTGCTTGTGGGTAGAACCGCCACTATGCTCTCTGTTCACTCGTCTGAGCTTGCATGGACTCGCCTTGCTGTTTGTGTGTCTCCCATGCACCAACAGGGCGGCAGACCTGGTGAATGCGCGCAGCACAGTGGACCTGCTGGGGGAGATGCTCGCAACGGTGGATGCCAATAACCCTGCGGTACGTCCAATGGGCCTGCTTGTGCACCCACCTACCACCACCCACCCACCATGCTTCACCACCCCCCAATCCCTTCCCCATACCCCCTCCAAACGCCAAAATCTATGTCGATCCATTCGCTCTATCCCTTGCATACTCCCTCCTCCAGTTACCGGACCCCGCTGAGTCGTCCTATCCTTACAATATAAACCTCTCGTTGCTTGTTTCCTTCTGCCCCGCCCTCTCTGCGTCCTGTCTGCCACATCACTCCCCTCACATGGTAACCGACATGCTGCCATAAGGTATTCGTGTAAGCAATAAGATGAAGAACTGAGAGGCGCGCACTGTGTGCCGCGTGCGTCCGGTATCTCCACACCACCCGTGTGCATCCCCTTCCCTTGGTGCCAGGCGGCCAACGAAACGACGAGGTTATAAGTGACCTGGTGGAGTGGAGCAAGGCCTGCGTGTCCGTGTCCTTGTGTGGCCATGAGTGAGTGGCCTTGTGGACTAATCCTTGACTGCCTTGTTCTTGTGTGTGCGTGCGTGCGTGCGTGTGTGCGTGCGTGTGTGCGTGTGTGTGTGTGTACCAGGCGGCCAGTGACGAGGTGATAAGCGACCTGGTGGAGCAGACCCGCACGCTGCAGCAGCAGCTCACAGCCGCTCTCAACACGTCCACGTGAGTGCCGTTTCGGCTACAGCTTCCTGCACGCATCTTCGCATGCATGTGCACAGCACAGTGGTTGGATGGGCAGAGCAGAGCACATCAAGCAGAGCGGCAGGTTCGTCCTGGCCCCTTTCATTCTGTCCAGGGCCTCCTGCTGAACGACGACATGCAGACGCACCTCATCCACCACAGCATCCTCATCGTTCCCCCTCTCCATTCTCACCTTTTCCTTTTCCACCATTTCACCTTCCTCTTCCATCCATCCTCGTGCCCCATCCCACAGCGACGAGCAGTTTCTCTTCCAGGGCCTCTCACTGAACGACGACATGCAGAAGCACCTCGACCGCCACAGTGCCCTCCTCGTTGCTTCCTCTTCTCCCCTCTTCTAAAAAGGTTCCTTTCCCAACGCCCTCTTCCTCCCCCGCCCCCCCCCCCCCCTCCCCCCTCTCTCCACCCTCCCCCCCAATACAGCGACGAGCAGTTTCTCTTCCAGGGCCTGGCGCTGAACGACGACATGCAGAAGCACCTCGACCGCCAGAGCGCCCTGCTTGCCTCCTCGCTGCACCGCGGGGGAGACGGCCGCCACAGCGACAGCAGCAGTGGCGGCGCCTCTCCTCCCCGCCCGGGGGCCTACCAGCCCTATCCCGGTCAGAATGAGGGTCAGGGCGGGGGTGGAGTGGTGAACCGCGGGCAGCAGTATGATGATTGGGCAGCAGGGGTGACGGCTGGGCTGCCCTTGGCTCGATTTGAGAGCGACCAGACGGAGGAGGAGAATGCGGATGGAGGGCTGCGAAGGACCCACGGAGCACAGGCCTCTGCCTCCACTGCTGCTGCTGCTGCTGCTGCTGCTGCTGCTGCTGCTGCTACTGTTAATGCAGGCCCGTCCTCTTCCCAACCAGCACAGACACAGACCGCCTCAGCAGGTCAAGCAAGTCAAGCAGGGCAGCCCCCACAGCAATCTCTGGTGGCAGCACGAGCTGCAGCTGCTGCTGCAGCAGCAGCACCTGCCACGGCCGTCCCTCCTCCCACCCAGGACCTGCTCAGCCTCGACCTTGTTTCAATCGCCCCTCCTCCCCAACCCCACCCCCCCACCTTCGCTTCCAATGCTCCTGCCGCCTCCTCTTCTCCCTTTGACTCGCCTTTTGACGAGCCGCCGTTCCAAGCCACTGCTGCCCCTGGCCCCGCTGCTGGTGCTGTTGCTCCGTATGCGCTCAACTCCTCCTTCCAGCAACCGCAGTACCAACAGCAACTGCAGTATCAGCAGCAGCCACAGCAAGGGTATGGTGGCGCGGGGGGGTATGGCGGCATGGGAGGTGGCATGGGAGGAGGTATGGGTGGTGGGATGGGTGGTGGGATGGGTGCGGGTGTGGGTGGGGGCATGGGTGGTGCATATGGGTCAGGTACAGTAGTACCAGGAGGCCCGAACCAGCCTGCTTCGTACGTGGTGCCCTGGGCTCGTGTTGCTCAAAGTGCCAGCCCCCAGCAACAGCATAATAACCAGCAGCAAAACTACCAGCAGCAGCAGCAGCAGCAGCAGCAGCAGCAGCAGCAGCAGCAGCAGCAGCAGCAGCAGAGTCCAGGGGGGGCTGCTTTGAGTCCGCAGCAGCAGGCGATGCTGTTCGGTGGTAACCCACCCCCCATGAACCTATCACAGCAGGGAGGAGCGCCCTCGGGTGGAGGGATGGGTATGGGGGGCTCGAGCACGTATGGGCCGAACCCCACTTACCCCTACCACCAACAGCAGCAGCAGCAGCAGCAGCAGCAGCAGAGGAGGCCCGGGGAAGTCGTGACAGGCCCTGCTGCTGATTACGTGCATGGGCAGGTGTTTAGAGGCACAGGGTAGATTTTTGTGGGACTGATCTTTCAGCCTTTTTTGTTAGGCCACACTGAAATTTCAGTTTTTTTTTCCCTAGTACACTGATGCCACAACGTTGTAACGAAACTAACCCTGAAAGCGATTCTTACCTGTGTCGTGTAGATTTGACTGCAATTACAGGGAATCTCAGATTCCCGCGGTGTAAGCACCCCGTGGCGAGACCAACCTGCGAAATTTTGCCTTTGGTTCACGATTGAGGTGTTTTGTTGGCGCGGCGCCACACACCATTGGCCCGTTTCGCTGTAGCATCTTTTCTTGGCCAATCCGAACGTGGCCAACATGTAGTGCTGGAGGGCTGCCAACGTTCCTGCACCGTTGCCATCACCTGCGACGCGTTAGGATTGGACTGTGCTGGCAAGCACCGTGCCATCCATCTTGACGTCAAGGTGGGGATGCTTCCACGCCGCCCAGCCCATGCACCAGGGGCCCCTTCTTCTCCAAGCTTTGCATCCGAAGCTGGGTTTCCCCCTTTCTTCCTAGTGTACCAAGAGGCAGCCAGCCGTGGCCTGTGCTTTGCCTGTGCAATCCCTTGCATCTACTCTCGTCGTCACTAGCTTAGATGTGAGGCCGACCCCGCTGTTTACCATGGTAGAACACCTAGACGGCATGGAAACAAACGGCAAACACGTCGGTGATGCGCATCGCCAGCCACCTTTAGTCCGTTCTGAAGCAGTTACCGGCCTCGATTTGTTGTTTTCGAGCATAGCGGAAGTCAACGACAAGGAGAAGCCACCAGATCTCGAGCCGCCCGACAAGATCCCGTTCGAACACATCGATGAGGAGGGTTGGTGTGCATCCCCGACAGCGCTAGTCACGGAGCAGGACAGCTCGCCGCCTCCAGCAGAAAAAACGGCTCCCGAACCCGTGGCCAAGAAAACCGGCCGATACATGCAGTCAACGCTGCCATGGTTTACAAAGGGCGCTGCCGACGGAGATACCACGACTTCGCCAGCCGACCAACGGTCGTCGCCCGTGATTGCCGGCACGCAGGAGTCACCATCGGTTCCTGGTCCTTCTAAACGCGACGCGATTTACGCCGAGTCTCTCTATAAGTACAAGACCGAGTGGCTGGACAGGTTTTCATGGCTCATTATTTTGCGGCAATCTGACGGTCTCCCAGCTTTCAAGTGCTCTATCTGTACCGAGCACGCAGGTTACGCTGGAAAGTGCGGGAAAGGCGGGAGGGGCGCCTCGGACGTACAAACGCAGGCTTTCAAGAGGCATGCAGCAACAACCAAGCACAAGGAGGCGGTCAAGCACCAGGAAAAGCTTCTTGCTGAAGCTGGCCGGCAGCCACGGATCAACGGTGGCAACCTTGCTCGCGACACCGAGAAGGAGCGTGTCATCGAGCTGTGCGACTCCCTGCTCTTCGTAACCAAGCAAGATGCTCCCATTGAGTTATGGGTGCAACTTGTTCACTACCTCGCGGCGAAGAAGGTTCCGGGATTCCTTGCGAAAGGATACGGAACCTACTACACAACGTGAGTACCCGCTGTCAACTCCTAAACTTGCTGTTGCTTTCGTTTACCATGTGTGTAAGCTCTAACATTGACTCACATGCTCCACAGGTACGGCTTTGGGCAACTAACACAATCGATTGCCACGTGGTTGCACACAACGCAACTGCAGCACATCCTTACAAGTCCGTACATCGGAGTTACATGTGACGAGAGCACGGACAGGTGTCGGGGAAAGCACATGATTATTTTCGTGATCTTCATCCGTGAGAATCGCGTCGTCACCGAGTTCCTTGCCCTTCTGACCGTGGAGAAGTGCGACTCCGCCTCTCTCCTCTCAGTGTTTGTGTCCCACCTGCAGGCCCTTGGCATCGAGCTTGCCAAGATCGCTGGTATGAGCACCGATGGCGCGAGTGTGATGATGGGAAGCAAGAACGGTCTTGTCGTTCGACTGCGCCTCCGCATACCGCATCTCGTCTCAAGCCACTGCATAGCCCACAAGTACGTTCACGTTTGTACTAGCGCCAATCCTGCTTATCCGTATCATCCCTTGCTGATAACCCGTGTTGCATGTTTGTGTTGTGATGTGCCTGCAGGGAGGCCCTCGTGGCAAAAGATGAGCGGAGACACTCCCCGAGTTCGACATGGTCGACGGGCTGATCCGTCACGTCGCTGAATATCTCGGCCGTTCCTCCCCCTGGCACCAACGATTTCTGGAGCTTCAGGAAGTCTTCACGGCTACGAACCTGGAGCTTCAAGGGATTCATCAAGTCCGCTGGCTCTCCAGGGGTGATGCCGTTCTGCGAACGGTGACGGTCTTTCCTGCGCTCATCGTCATGCTGTATGAGTGGGACGAAACTCTGTACAAGCTCGCCACCAGCTACAGGTTTCATTTTTGTTGTTCTTCCTTGCAGACGTGCTCGAGCAGCTGAACGTCTTGAACAAGTCCTTCCAGAAGCGAGAGGTGAGCAACAAGTCCTTTCAGCGTCTGCTGCACCTCTCATCATGTCTAGTTATTGTATGCGTGGTTTCTGTGTGCGTATGACAATGCTTTTATATTGAGGGACATGAAGCTCAACACTGATTGTGTGATTAATCACCCCCCCGGCTCGCTGTCCTTGTGTCCGTGTGTGTTATTTATGTCGGCCCCTCATAGCTTGACTTCGCATGTGTCCATGCGCAGATCAGGAGAACCATGTCTCACCTAGAGACCCGCTACGTCGACTGCGGTGACGATTTTGGAGGCGGGTTGAGCGCGCGCCTGTCCCCGTTCATCATGAAGTACGGGCCTGACAGTGACAAACCCGAGGTGACGGTGCAGGGTGTGGACTCTGACGGTCGGCCGACTACACACAAGTTCCAACTGCATGAGAACCCAAGCGAAGACTACCCAACTCTGGGAACACACGGCGCCTGCGTCGATCTCTGCACCTCATTTACCGAGACGCTCGTCTGTAACCTCAGCAAGAGGTTTAAAGACTTGGACTCCCTTTGTGGGAGTGAGGCTCTTCATGCCAGACGAGTACCCGCATGGGAGATCGGAGCGCCACAAACAGTGTCTCGAGTGGCTCATGTCACTCGTCTCACTGTTCAGGGCACAGGAGACGGACCACATCCTTCCAGGTACTTGCATTACGTGCACCCTTGTTGTCCATGAATCTCTTTGTTCCTCTGTTTAAACACTAATTTGCATACACGAGTATGCCATGCCAAGCCATCCAATCTAACTGAAAACCTCCATTCTGTTTTGTGTGGCAGGGATCGACAAACGGCGGGCGATCAAAGAACTGCGTGCCTTCTGCCCCATCCTCGCAGGTGCCCCGAAAAACGAGCGAAGCTTCCACGCCGGGCTAACAGCGATGCCGAAGACAAGCGACTGGAGGACTAGCTACCCCAACCTCGTGCGTCTCTGGGTGGCTGTCGCCGTGCTGCCGCTGAGCAGAGTGGAATGTGAGCGCGGGTTTTTCCGCCAGAATATCATCAAAACGTGGCAGCGTGGGAGCTTCAAAGACGCCCGACTTGAAGATCTCGTCACGATGTCGCTCCTCGACTACGAGCCCGACTACAACGAACTGGTGAAAATCAGGCGCAGCTACAAGAAGCGCCGACCATTTGGCAATGTGGTAGCACCTCCAGCAAGAGAGGGGGAGGGCAGTGGCAGGGGAAAGGAGGCACTTGAGGAGTGGGAAGAACCAAAGGCGCAGGGGAGTGATGATGACTCTGATTCCGATGATGATGCATGCATGACTCCTGTTAGATAAGAGCAGCTGCTCTGTTCTAGAAGGCTACTGTACTCCTTAATTTAAAATCAATACTTTATAATAGTATCAGCCTTTTTACTAGTGGAACCCTGATGGATCAGGCTCTTTACAAACACAGCATTGTCATTTCAGGCTTTTTTTTTGGAACACTGTCAATCAGTGTTTACACACAAGGAGACCCTGAAGGGTAGATGACCCTAAAAGTGAATCTGAGGCCCTGGTTCTACCGTACATCCATAGGCCACAACCTTACTGATGAGCCCTCCACAAATACCAGTAGGACATAGCACAGCCCTCAGACTCTGAATGAACCTCCGCTCCGCATCAACGAAACGCATTACATTGCCATGACATGGAACGAGGAACTTCTTATGGCCCTTACTATAAGGCCGGGTTGTCTTGTGCACCCTTTTTTTACAAAGTGATGTTTTCTCGGACCCTTATGAAAAAAAAAAAAAAAAAAAAAAAAAAACAAGGCTATTTTTTCAGAGTGACGTAGTGTACACAGCCTGATGAGGAAGAGTGGTTTCAGGTACCACACTGACGAGTTTCGCAAAAAATTTCCTGTCAATCACGGACGTGGTTTTTGCCACAATTAGCGGCGAGTGTGCGCATCGCCTTGACGGCTCGTGTCGCTCGCAACGCCAAAATGAAGTCCCACCAACGTCAGGACCACTTTGCCTACCTGGCGGTAACGCGGCACGCGTCGCTGGTAGGCAAAGTGCTGGAGAGACGCCACCTCCCCTCTCCCTCTCCAACACACACCACGCCACCACCCACCACCACAGGCAGGGGTCCTCTCTCGCTCACCCCCAGCCAGCTCATTATCATTCACACAACTCAATGTCCAAGCTTCTTTCTAGCATAGCAAGAATCAGCTGCAGTATCGTTTACTCTCTCCATGGCTCCGGACGCGATGGGACGACGAGGCACGTCGTCCTCATGTCCGATGGGCGAGCAGGTCGATGGGGTTGGTCGACATGCATGGGGCCACTGCGATGTCGCCGATGACGGGAGCCGGTGGCCGACTTCAGCGTGGTGGTTGACGAGGGGACTCGTCGACCTGGGAGGGGCGCCGACTTTGGGAGGCTGACTTGGCGAAGTCGGCCTGGGAGGGCGCCGACTTGGTGGCGCCGACCTGGGGAAGCCGACTTGGTGAAGTCGGCAGGTGGCCGTCGACCAGGGTGGTCGTCGATCTGCGATGTGCACCTGACGGTGCACATCGCACCAACCGACTACGAGCACCTGC